GTAGCTTTTTTACTGGGTCTTTTGGGGTTTTCTATGTATAGGATCATATCATCTGCAAATAGAGAGAGTTTTACTTCCTCTTTGCCAATTTGGATGCCTTTAATTTCCCTGTCTTGCCATATAGCTCTTGCTAAGATTTCCAGTACAATGTTGAATAGGAGTGGTAACAAAGAGCATCCTTGTTTCCTATTCTTACAGGGAAGGCTTTCAGGTTCTCTCCACTGAGAGTAATGTAGGCTTCTGGTTTTGTATATATGCTCTTGATTATGTTGAGGAGTTTCCCTTCAATTCCTACTTTATTGAGTGTTTTTATCAGGAATGGATGTTGTATTTTGTCAAATGACTTTTCTGCATCAATCAATATGATCATGTGGTTCTTTTCTTTTTTCTCATTTATATAGTGGATTAGGTTAATTGTTTTTCTAATGTTGAATCATCCTTGAATTCCTGATATGAATCCCACTTGATCATGATGTATTATATTTTTGATGTGCTACTGGATTCTTTTGGCTAGGATTTTGTTGAGCATTTTTGCATCTATGTTCTTAAGGGATATTGGTCTATAATTTTCTTTCTTAGTGATGCTCTTCCCTGGTTTTGGTATGAGGGTTATGTTGTTAGGTGCCATTGAATCAGTATTGACTCATAGCGACCTTATGCACTGCAGAATGAAACACTGCCCAATCCTGGGCCAACCTCACTATTGTTGCTGCACTTGAGCCCATTGATGCTGCCACCTTGCCAATCCATCTCACTGGGGGTCTTCCTCTTTTTCTCTCACCTGCCACCTTACCAAACATGATATCCTTCTCCAACAACTGGTCATTCCTGACAATATGTCTGAAGTATGAGAGACAAACTTTGGCCATCCTGGACTCCAAGGAGCACTCTGGCTGCACTTCTTCCAACACAGATCTGTTGGTTCTTTTGACATCCCATGGCACTTTCAATATTCTCCTCCAAAACCATAACTCAGAAGCATCAATTCTTCTACTTATTATAATAAGGTCTTCCTTATTCACTGTGCAGCTTTTGCATGCATATGAGGTTATCGAAAATACCCTGGCTCTGGTCAGGTGCACCTTAGTCCTCAAGCTGACATCTTTGCTTTTCAATATTTTAAAAAGGTCTTGTGCAGCAGATTTGCCTGATGCAACACATCATTTGATTTCTTGACTGCTGCTTCCATGAGTGTTGATACTTGCCCAAGAAAAATGAGTCCTTGACAACTTCAATCTTTTCTCTCCATTAATAAGAATATTTATTGTTTATTGGTCCAGTTTGTATTAGGAAGTTTTTCATCCTCCTTTATATTCTGGACTATTTGAATAGAATTGGTGACAGCTCTTCCCTAAATGTTTGGTAGAACTTACCAGTGAAACCATCTGGGCCTGGACTTCTTTTGGTTAGGAGTTTTTTGATGACCTGATCAATTTCTTCTTTTGTTATTGGGCTGTTCGAGTTTTCTACTTCACTCTGTGTAAGTTTAGGTAGGTCGTGTTTTTCTAAAAATGTATCCATCTCTTCTAAATTTTCAAATTTGATGGAGTACAACTTTTCATAGTATTCTGTTATTATCCTTTTGATTTCCTTTGGTTCTGTTGTGACACTGTCCATGTGGTTTCTAATGCATGTTATTTGTGTCTTCTCCTTCTTTCTTTTGTTAGGTTTGCCAATGATCTGTCAATTTTGTTAATCCTTTCCAAGAACCAGCTTCTTATCCTGTTAATTCTTTCTATAGATTTTCTGTTTTCTATCTCATTTATTTCGGCTAATCTTTATTATAATTTCTTTTCTTTTGGTGGCTATAGGTTCCCTTTGTTGGTCTGTTTCTAATTGTTGTAGATGCTGTATTAAGGTGTTAATTTTGGTTCTTCCTTCTTTTTGGATATATGCATTTATTGCAATAAATTGACCTCTTAGCACTGCTTTTGCCGTGTCACAAAGGTTTTGTTTTGTTGTGTTTCCATTCTCGTTTGTTTCTAGGAAATTTGTGAGCTCACATTTCATTTCTTCTACTACTCAGTCGCTTTTCATCAGGGTGTTATTCAGTTTCCATGTATTTGACTTTATTTCCTTGGTCTTCCTATTGTTGATGTCTAATTTGACAGTATTGTGGTCTGAGTAGGTGTTTTGTAGTATTTTGATATTTTAAAACTTATGGAGGTTTGTTTAGTGGCCTAACACATGGTCTATTCTGGAGAATGTTCCATGTGCGGTAGAAAAGAATGTGTATTGTTCTGTTGTTTGGTTGAATGCTGCGTACACATCTATGAAGTCAGCTGATTGTGTTGTTTAGTTCCTCTGTGTCCTTTTCGAGTTTTTTTCTGGTTGTTCTATCCATTTTTAAAGCCATGCATTAAAATCACCCACTATTATTGTAGATTCATCTATTTCTTTCTTCAGATCTATTAGAGTTTGCTTTCTATATTTTGGAGCTCTTTCATTGAGACCATAGATATTTACTATGGTTATGTCTTCTTGTTCAATTGTCCCTTTAATCATGAGATAATGTTCATCTTTATCTATTATTCTGGTTTTTTCCTTAAAGTTTATTTTATCAGAGATTAGTACTGTCACTTCTGTTTGTTCTTTTATTGCAATTAATTTGGTGTTTATTTCCCCATCCTTTGACTTTTAATCTGTTTCTGTCTCTGTATGTAAGATGTGTCTCTCACAGACAGCACATTGAAGGATCTAGTTTTCTTATCTATTCTGCACCCTTCATCTCTTCATTAGTGTATTTAACATCAGGACTATGAGAAAACTCACAAAAAAGAACACAAAAACCATGAACTCAGCACAGGACAACATGCAGAACAAAGAAAGCAACAACAGGATTAAAAAACAACAACATAATGGCAGCAATTAATTCATACATATTGATAATTACACTGAATGTAAATGAATTAAATGCATTGTTTGAAGAGGGGAAATAATACTAAAATGCTTGACTGTCTTATGAATATTGGTTTCCCTTGCTCACTATTGTAAAATAAACACTTGAGTGGGCTAGAAAGGAATGTTAGTAAACATGATTAGAGAAAATTTGTAAGCCCATCTACAGCCTGTAACTGATTGGAATACCTAAAAGGGGTTCTAGAACTTGCCCAGTGAAATAGGCCTCGTGCAAAGCCTTTGCAGAATATAGGACTTTAGGTGGAATCCTGAGTCCCATCCAGAATCTTCTGAGGTCGGACATTTCCAATAGTAAGGACAAGCAGACCAGCCTGGAACAGCTAGAGCAACAGAAAATACATCGTCAAAGAAAGATCATCAGGAAAAATCACAAAACAAAAATGTCAACATGACTGGCAAGAATAAGCAAACTGTTCGCCAGGAAGCCATCAAAGCAAGTAATCATGTTCTTTCAGGACAAACTCCCCTCTAAGACTGAAACTCAAAGAGAACACATGAACAGACATGTAAGCTTGCTGGTGACCAACTTGGTCTACTGGTGAGTGGAAGAGGGGGAAAAACAGCAATGAAGAAATAGGTTGAGTTCAACCACAAGCCATTGACTCCCTGGAGATGAGGGAGAGAAGAGGAAGGACTTGTTGGTCCAAAGTGTGGTGAGACTTAGGGGCACTTGAGCCCACAGACAAAGACATAGCCACAAAGGGCTAGAGCTGAGAGTGAAGCATCCAGATTATATGAAGTGAGGGAAGCTGCATAAGAACACTCAAACATATAGGCAGTACCCATGTGACCTAGCCTCGATGACTTGATAATCAGTACTCGAGTAGAGGAAGTTTACCAAAAAACAAAAACAAAAAAAATTTTTAATAAAGAAAACAAGGTTAAATTGCTACAATTTGATGAACCTGACCTATACTCATGGAGGTAGTAACTCTAAATACCAACAGAAAAGGAAGGAGTCTTCACATCAAGTACCAATGCTATCTTTTCTGTATACAGGGTAGATAGGTATGGGCAACTTAGACATTGGCTATCTAAAATGAGGGGACGATAAATGTACAAAGTGACTGTCTTACAAGGTTTCAAGAGGGAATTTAGATTGAGTATGAGGTTAGGGAGAAGAAAGAGTCCTCACTGAATAGTTTTCATCTTGTCTAGATGGGTCTGGTGAAAAGAAATCTAGATAAGATCCATAATTAATTGCAACTGTGAATAATTGTTATCATAATTAATTGCAACTGTCACAATTTTAAAGGTAGAAATTTTGTAACAAAAACAAGGGAGTAGTTCATCTTACAATCCCGAAACAGGACCCTAGGATCATCAAGGGAGAAGAGCAGAAGCAGAATGTGAGACCCTATCCAGAGAAGCATGGACACCAGAGATGGAGACAGAAATGGGGTCATGGAGAAGTGGAGTGACTGAGGACTCTAGATTCATGGGAAGAGATGGACTAAGAGCTGGTGGCCAGGAGGCTGACTTGCAGAATGTGCCCTTTGGAGGTGTAATTATTATATATGCCTGAGCATTTTTTGTTTTTGTTTTTTGTTGTTGTTGTTTAAAAAGCCAAAGTGAATAGAGAGAAATACTGTTAACTGATGGTACATGGAGGGGATTATAATCATTGTAATGAAACCAGGTATATGATTTGTTGAATGTAAAACTGATGATCTGCCCTGCAAATTTTCACTCAATCCACAATAAAACCTTAAAAAAAACCTTTTTTTTTTTTTTAATTCTATCATGAAAAAAATAATCTACTACACCTCATCAGAAGAAGATTCAACCAAGTGGCAAAATATAAAATCAACATAAAAAAATCAGTTGGATTCCTCTTTACCAATAAGGATAGCACTGAAAACGATATTAGGAAAGCAATACCATTTACAATAGCCGCCCAAAGGATGAAGTATCTGGGAATAAATGTAACAAGAGAAACAAAGGACCTCTACAAAGAAAAGTACAAAACACTACAAGAAACCAAAAGAGTGCTCACTTTGGCAGCACATATACTAAAATTGGAACGATACAGAGAAGATTAGCATGGCCCCTGAACAAGAATGACACGCAAATTCATGAAGCATTCCATATCTGTAAGAGGAGTTGATGAGTTGGAAAGGCTTAGGGAAGAGAAAAGAATAAGAAATAAGTTTATGATGATGCATTGGAAGCAAAGACATTGTAGAAGCCATCCTTATCCTGTGTGCTTTAGGCCTTGAATTCTTTTTCTGATATTAAGATCTGGCTCCTGCTTTCTCTTTGTTAGCATTTTCTAATGTATCTTTTTTTTTTTTTTT